TATATATGTATATATATATATATATATATATATATATATATATATATATATTATATATATTTACATATATACACATACATATGTATATATACATACATATACATACATGTATATATATACATATCTATATCTCTATCTATCTATCTATCTATCTATCTATCTATCTATCTATCTATCTATATTTATATCTATTTATTTATCTATCTATCTATCTATCTATCTATCTATCTATCTATCTATCTATCTATCTATCTATCTATCTATCTATATGCATATATATATGCGTATGCCTGTATGAATGTATGTAAAAATATGTATATATATACAGATATATATGTACTTATATATGTATATGTACATATATATATATATACACATATATATGCATACATGCATATATGCATATATATATATATATATATATATATATATATATATATATATATATATATATATATATATATATATATATATATATATATATATATGTATAAATATATGTATATGTATATATTTATATATACATATATGTGTATATGTAAATATATATATATATATATATATATACATATATGAATGAATATCCATATATATATATATATATATATATATATATATATATATATATATATATATATATATATATATATATATACATGTATATATATATATATATATATATATATATATATATATATATATATATATATATATATATATATATATATATACATATGTGAATGAATATCCATATATATATATATATATATATATATATATATATATATATATATATATATATATATATATGTATGTATGTATGTATGTATGTATGTATGTATATGTATAAATGTGTGTGTGTGTGCGTATCTGCAGATGATGACAGTGTTAATAGCAATGCCAGTGGAAATAACAATGACAACTGCAACAAAAATGATACTGAATGACGAAGGGAATATTGCAAATGATTTTGATAACTTGCAATGAAGATGATTTAATGATAATCATGGAAATGAAAACGGAAACCCCAAAATGTGTTCTTTTATTACTATAGTTTAATATCTTCTATTTTTTTTTGTTTTTGTTTTTGTTTATCCTTTACCTGTCTGTTTCTTTATATTTGTGTCTGTCTCCCCCCTCTCCCCCCTCTCTCAGTATAACCGCCGTTCTCTCACGAGGCGACCTTCATCATCATTAACCTATTATCATCATTATCATCCATCTCCTCATCACTAAAAGTCGAGGCGCAAGACCCGCTAATAACAGATGGGGGGGAGGGTAGAGAGGGAGGGGGAGGAGGCTAGAGAGGGAGGGGGAGGAGGGTAGAGAGGGAGGGGGAGGAGGCTAGAGAGGGAGGGGGAGGAGGCTAGAGAGGGAGGGGGAGGAGGGTAGAGAGGGAGGGAGAGGGGGGAGGGGGGAGGGTTGGGAGAGATGGGGGGAAGGGAGCATGGGTGTGGTGGAGGAATGGGTAAAGATGGGGAAAGATGGAGAAATAGGGAGAGGGATATACAGGGAGAGAAAAGATGGAGAAAAGAGGAAGAGAGGAGGAGAGGAGGAACGGGGATAGAGGCATAGAGCGAAAGATGAGGAGAGGAGGAGAGGGAGAAGAAGAGAAGGAGAGGGAAGAGAGGAGGGGGGAGGAAAGGAAGGAGGAAAGGAGAAAGAAGGGGAGTGATGGGGAGAGAGGAAGGGGGGTGAACATGAGAGGTGAGGCGAGGGGGGAGGGGAAGGGGAAGGGGGAGGGGAGGGGGGAGGGGAAAGGAAGGGAGAAGGGGGAGGGGAAAGAAGGAGGGGAAGGGGGGAGGGAACAGGGGAGAGAGGAAGGGAAAGGGGGAGGGGAGGGGGAGGGGGAGGGGGAGGGGAGGAGAGGACGAGAAGGGCTAATTATCTCTCGCTCCGTTCTTGCGCTCATTCACTTCTCTTGAATTTCCTTACGTCTCCCCATTCTTTCTTCCTTCAGGTTGTGTCTTTTTTCTATTTAGTGTTATTTTTTTTCTCTCTGTTTTCATTTCTCATATTCTTCCTTCGTTTCCCTTCCTTTTCTGTTTGTTTGTTTTTTTCTCTTATCTCAACCTGTCTTTTCTCCATTTCCTCTTTCTTCTCACCCCCACCCTATCTCCCTCTCCCTCCCCTCCCACTTTCCTTCCTCTATTCCCTCTCCCTCTCCCTTCCTTTCCCCCTCTCCTCCCCCTCCCTTTCTCCCTCCCCCTCCCTTCCCCCCCCTTCCCTCCCTTCCCCCTCCCCCTCCCTCCCCCTCTCCCTAAGCAATATTCAGACCGGAAGCAAGAGCCTCCCGGCGCAAGAACAGGCAAACAAAAGCATAATTTCGAGGCCATTTTGAGAGACCAGAAAATGCTCGGAAGAAAAATTTGATCAAACAACATAGATAAGAATAAATGTGGTAATAAAGACGGTAAGAGTCCGTAATAAATTGAAGAAAGTCGCACTGATTAAGTTGCAAGGAGCAATGGTGATAACATATCGTCATAACATATCGTCAACGCACTGTGCAACATCATAGCCTTACTATGTACTTTTGGGAATTCATTGATAATAATAAACAACGTTATTCCTCATATTTGCTGTAATGAAAAAGATGGAACATGAAATTGATCAATAATGATATATAACAGGTGATGAAAAAGAAAAGGAAGACTGATAAGAATTGCAATATTCTGCTGTCTGTATAATTGGCATGAGGGTAAATATCATAAATTCAACAACAATATGCAGATGGCCTTTTCTTTACTGCTAATACTACATGCGGCTGCTGCAATTACGATCATTATGAAAAGTATCATTACCATAAAAAACGTCATTATCAAAATAAAAATTACCCATTATGTTAAGATCTTAGAACAACCATTACCTTAGATCATCACCATCAATACAAAACCTATCGTCCTTACCATCAATCTGAACCTCATTACCACCATTATCACACGAACAAATTACAAAATCATCCGACCCACGCCCACGTACATTATATGGGCGTTTATGTCCTAATAATTGCGCATTTTCCCACGCCCCCTCGAAAATTCCCACGCTAGGCTCGGCTCCCGCCCTCATGGGAATGGCTTGGGCTCTGTCTGCCGCCGGAGAAGCGTCGTAGGCCTATCGCTTATTGCTCATCTTAAGCCCAGCTATTTTCTTCATCTCTTAATTTACTTTTTAAAAAATGTATAAATAATTGTTAAAAATAGAAAAAAGAAAATGTTCAGCTCCTCTTTGTCTTGTCTTTTACTTTTTCGCTCTAGGAATTGTCATAATTATTCCGCTGCTGTTTTCAGAGGAAGCATAAAGGCATCGGCTGTAATCATAACGATAATAATAATAATAATAATAATAATAATAAAATGATAAAACAATAATAATAATAAAATAATAAAACAATAATAATAATAATAATAATAATAATAATAATGATGATAGTAATAATGATAATAGTAATAATGATACTAATAACAATAATAATAATAGTAATAACGATGATGATGATCATAATAATAATAAAGGTAAATGATAGTGGTAATAATAGTAATGGTAATAATAATAATAAGATTGATGATAGTAATAATGATAATAGTAATAATGATAATAGTAATAATGATAATAGTAATAATGATAATAGTAATAATGATAATGGTAATAATGATAATAGTAATAATGATAATGGTAATAATGATAATGGTAATAATGATAATGGTAATAATGATAATAGTAGTAATGATAATAGTAATAATGATAATAGTAATAATGATAATAGTAATAATGATAATAGTAATAATGATAATAGTAATAATGATAATAGTAATAATGATAATAGTAATAATGATAATAGTAATAATGATAATAGTAATAATGATAATAGTAATAATGATAATAGTAATAATGATAATAGTAATAATGATAATAGTAATAATGATAATAGTAATAATGATAATAGTAATAATGATAATAGTAATAATGATAATAGTAATAATGATAATAGTAATAATGATAATAGTAATAATGATAATAGTAATAATGATAATAGTAATAATGATAATAGTAATAATGATAATAGTAATAATGATAATAGTAATAATGATAATAGTAATAATGATAATGGTAATAATGATAATGGTAATAATGATAATAGTAATAATGATAATAGTAATAATAATAATAGTAATAATGATAATAGTAATAATGATAATAGTAATAATGATAATAGTAATAATGATAATAGTAATAATGATAATAGTAATAATGATAATAGTAATAATGATAATAGTAATAATGATAATAGTAATAATGATAATAGTAATAATGATAATAGTAATAATGATAATAGTAATAATGATAATAGTAATAATGATAATAGTAATAATGATAATAGTAATAATGATAATAGTAATAATGATAATAGTAATAATGATAATAGTAATAATGATAATAGTAATAATGATAATAGTAATAATGATAATAGTAATAATGATAATAGTAATAATGATAATAGTAATAATGATAATAGTAATAATGATAATAGTAATAATGATAATAGTAATCATCATGACTATTATTATGTGATAACAGTGATAAGAACAATGATAATGACAATGAATTTAAAAAGAGTAATAGGCAACGGCAATAAAGAAGAGGAAGTGAAACGAAGTAAACGAGGAAAAACAAGAAAGACGAAAATGACAACAGAGGAATGACCGGGGGAGAGGGGGGGGGCTGAGCTTTCTCTGTTCATTCTTTCCTTTTCTCTTCCTCTCTTCCGTTGCTTTTATTCTATTTTTGTTTTGTTTTGGGTTTTCACAGTTGGTTTTGTTTCTGTTTCTTCTATGTGTGTATGTAATGTGTGTATATGTGTGTCTTACATATTTGTGCGTGTGTGTGTGTGTGTGTCTATATGTTGTCTGTGCAAGTTTGTGTATTACTTATGTGTGTGCGTTGTATATGAATATATGTATTGCATGTGTGTGCGTATATGCGTCTGTGTATGTGCTTACTTGCCAGTACATGAACGACGCGCCCGCACACGCGCACCCGAGCCCACTCTCATCTCCCGCGAGCGAATCCACGCCGCAGCGCACGTCCCCGCAGCGGACACGCGGGGGCGCCGCGCCGACGTCACTCCCGCGGCTTCGTCACGGATCGCGCTTCCTTCGTGCGCCGCCAGGAGGTGACTCTGCACGGCGCAGACGCGGCGACGCCTCTGCCACGATCTGGTATCGGCCGGGTCTTCGAAGAGGAAAGCGCGGGTGCGGGCTTGCGTGTGGATATGCATATGT